TTTCATTAAGTTGCTTAAGTGCTCATTCTATTTTAAATACAAGTTATATAAAATGTTATAATATGTCTTAAATACATTAAGTATATTTACTCAGATTTTGGTGGTAGCCACTCTATTTCATTACAAAGATAAATTTTTTAATATATATCTAATTTTGTTTTAAAAATGTCTTAATGACTTTTGTGTTGGTGTTTATACGGATTATATTCTGTCATCTAGATATTGAAGCAAATATAAGAGTTTAGGGTTATAATGAGATTAAAGGAAAAAAAATAAGAGTTAACATAATATTTTTTTAATACAATTTGTTATTCTATCATTTTTTTAATTAGATGGTTTTTAATTTTTTTCATATAAGTTTATTTTATTTTTAAAATGTATTAATAATGCTTTTATGTTGTTGTTTTTACTATCACGTTTTTTTGGTGATGTGTGTATTAACCTTAAGATCTTTATGAAATTAATGTAAAAAGTTGAAAACTAACATACTAGTTATTTTTTAATAGAGTTTGTCATTCTAACACATGTATAAAATAATATTTTTAACGAAATTGTGCTTGTATATTTATATTATTAAGCATATAAGTAATTATAAACCATCAAACTCATTCCAAATATTTACTAGAACATTTATACTTGTAACATTTATACGATCATAGCACAAACACAGACAAGTAGAGTGAGCTAACATGCAACAAATCATTTATAAAATATGCATAATTACTTTGATACATTCAACAAACATCATATAATAATTATGTCACATACACTCATACCATCATACAACAATCGCACCATAGATACTCATCCCATCATACCACAATACCAATAGACACTCATCCCACAATACACAATAGACATTCATCCCACTAATACCCAATAGACATCATTCCATATACCCAATAGACACTCATTCCACAAAATAACCAATAGACACTCATTCCACAAAATTACCCAATAGGACACTCATTCCACAATACCCAATATACACTCATTGCCAACCAATATCCAATAGACATTCATTCCACATACTCAATAGGACACTCATCCGCATGATACGTGATGACGTGGTCAGTTATGCACTTGTGATGACGTCTACTTCTTCTTACAAATACACTTCCAAAATACTCCATACCATCCACAAGGTTAGTCCTCAACACTATGTCCAAAACCGGCACATAGACGAGAACCTCTTGCCCCTCTCACCACATAATCACTGATTCCATACTTGAGACTGGATGTATTAGAGTATCAGGATAACCTCCAACAATAGGACCCTCAACATCAACATATACACTAATACCATATCATTACAGAATCTTTCCACGAGACTCATATCATGCTCATATTTCTCAACTCATATTATACCATTACAAAATCTCCCCATAATACTCATATCATGTTCAGATGCATAAATTCAAATCCAATATATAAACTCACAATCTCACAGGGAAATAATACAAATGAATATATCACAAAATAAATTAACAACTAATAAACATATCCTAGAAATGGTCCCGAGAAGAATCAAAGTTTGACGAATCAAACTCAACCAAAACGCCATTATTTTTTTTGGTTTATCGTATATGACTAGTCACAACTTACTGGATTTGACCAGGATTGCTCTATGATAGGGATGTACAAACTCCAATTTTTAAGATTCCTCTATCGCCTACCCATCACAAATGTATACCTTAATATATAAACGTTTTGGGGAACTAAGAAGTGAATCTGGCATAGCCGGTTACACATCTTCTTATCCTTCCAGAAAGATGAATCCAGCACATATTTTATACAGTTGAGTATATTGCATAATAGTTTAAACAGTACTTAATCTGTTCAATAGGATTTAAGTTTAAAACCTATCGATTAGACTTTTCAGAAAAGAGAGGTGTGTCACAATGGACAACTTTAAGTACCAGTCTTTCCTAGTTATGCCAAAACAGTGTTCCTCAACTAGTTTTTTAACAAATTTTCTTATTTACATATTCAAAAACAACAACATATAATTTAATCAAAATCAATACACAAACAAACACCTATGTTTTTCATTACAATATTCACACATAATTTCAAGACATGAATAGTAATAAAAGCAAATACTAAATCATAATATAAAAACTTAGAAAGGTTAGTCTCCCCTACCTCTATTCCAGACTAGTTTCTTGATCAGAGGTTGTTCCCGGAAAACTTCCAGAATCTCCACACTAAAATCCTTCTTAGTCTAAATTCTTCCTAATCTTATGATTCCTCTCTACTTCTTGGTGCAAAATCCCCATCCCCCTTGCTTGGTATTTATAGGCCAAGATTCTGGTACATTTGGGTTTTTTTATATATTATATAGTATTTAAATTTAATAATATCTTATTATATTTATCATTTCAATCAAAGATGTTTTGCTATTTCAATTACCGAAAGTTTCTTTGTCCATTTGTTTTCTTTTTTTTTTAAAAAAAAAACAAAAAGGTAGAAAAGAGTTTGAATCCATGTTCTTGAAATCACCACAATTTTCTACTATTTAAACTACCAAAATTTCTTATTTAGCTTTCCACATTTTATTTTTACATAAACTTATTAATTATATTTTCCATTTATAAAAAAAAATTTATTACTACTAATAATAAAATTATTACTATTAAGGTAAATATTTTTCATACGTCTTACCGAACAACATATCTTAGACTTTTAAACGTAGATATCATTTTCAATATTTTTATATATATATATATATATATATCATTTTTGTTGTATTTATTTAGACTTTGGTAATAGCGTTTGTATTAACTTGTAAGTTTGAGACTAAAACATATATGTCATGATATTAAGAATATGAACCAAATGTAAAAGTTTATGATCTTATTAAAAAAAACTATCAATAATAATATTTCCGTTGTTAACGCTTAAAATTAGTTGGTTAATCATAATTATTATAAGTAAAATATTTATTTATCAAATGTTTATTGCTAATTTTATAATAGATTAACAAAAAATTCATTGGATAATTGTTGGTAAATAAAATTTATTGATTATTTATTTTCTCTTTATTTTTCTTTTCTTCTTATTCTCTTTATTTATTTTTCCATTATTTTTTAAGTTAATGAAAATTTTATTATTCCAATAGATTTTAAAAATTTAATTTATAAATATATTTTGTTAGTTTGAATGGAAAATTTAGCATCTTATTTATCGATCAATTCATCCAAAAAAATTTAGTAGTGAATTTTAAGAAATTCAATTATTGACGAATTTATTAATAGAATTTGCCACATATCAAAATTGAAAGTGTATCATGTTTTATCAACTGAATTTACAAAATAAGATAATTCATTAATAATAACAATTGTAAATTTACTTACGGATTTATTTATATAAATCAAAAATTTATATTACCAACAAGTTTTAATAAAATAATTTACAAACATATTCATCAAATTCATTGGAAAAGTGACAAATTTATTTTTTTCTTTTTCTTGGTTTTTTTTACTAACAGATTTATTGACAATTTCTTTAGTAATCAAAATATAATTTTATAAAAAAATAAATTATTGACAATATTAATGAACTAATTTATAAACATATTTAATCATATTGAAAGATAAATTTGACACCTAATTTCTCAGTGGAATTTTTCATCAATAAATAAGATTTTCTCTTATTCAATTGATTTTTACCAATATTTATAGAAATTACAATTATCAACGAATTTATTAATAATGTTAGCAGAATTTAGCGCAAAATGTAACGTTCTTTTACTAACATAATTATCAATGAAAAAATTTCTCGATAATTTACATAATTTATGATAAATGTTTTTCATGCGATAATTTAAGTTTTATTTATAAACAAATTACTTTTGTTAATAAAATTTACTGATAAATATTATTTTACTGATGAATGTATTTTCATAGTAAGTTTTATTCTAATAAAGATTTTTTTAATGTCTGAATGAAACTTAGTACTAATTTCGTTTTAATACAACTATATATTTCTTGTACTCCTTTAAAATTGCATGGTTCTAACTTTTTTTAATATAAACTTATTTTGTTTTAAAAATATTTTAGTAATATATTAACATGATTGTTATATTTGCTAGGACTTTTGTGGCTGGTTTAATTAGAGAACTCAAATATAAGAGTTTAAAGTCTTTTGAAAATAAAGCAAAAGGTAAGAGGGGGACATATTAACTATTCTTTGAATATAGTCTGTGATTCTTGCATTTTATTGAAATTTGATAATTTTGGATTATTTACAAAAGGTTTATTCTGTTTTAGAAATATATAGTGAAGTAATTAAATGGTTGTGTTACTTTTACTCAGATTTTGTGGAAATGCTTATATTAACTCGTTTTTGTAAATTTGAGACAAACAAATGAAGGATTAGAAGTCTTATAAGTATGAAAAGTAAGAAATAATGCAATAGCTATTCTAGCGGTATGACAAGTGGCAACTAAAATAAGTTTATTATAATTCATATGCTAATATGATCTTGTTTAGATTGTTTTTTTAGTATCAATAGTTGGTTTTTGTTTTAATCTTCAATATCTGATCAGGAAGTTGTTCTTTTTCTTATCTTTTAATTACTTTAATTATATTAACATATTATTTTTTCGAGTACTTAATCATAGGTTTCAAACACATGTTTATGTCTTCATTATCAACTTTGATTTATATGATTTACATTTAAATTTATTGATATTTTTTTTTCAGATAAATAATTGGTTTAGTATGGTGAGTATAGATATATTTTATTTTTAGTATAATAAAAAATTATTATTTTAGTACAAAAACTATGATTCCTCGATTTTGTTTGAATACAAAAAATAATAAAATTAAAGAGTTGTTGTACTGAAAGTGTAGTTTTCTTTTTTTTTGTTGGTTTTAAAAATGAAATCTACCTATAATTATCCCAATCTGTTTTTGCTATAAATACGTTTTTTAACTATTAGGTAAATTAGATTATTAGGATAAAAGAATACAAGAGACAGAGAATAACAAAATTGGAAGGGTGGAAATAGTAAAATGTGATAGTGGAAATAGAAATGGATAGAGAGAAAGAAACCCAAAAAATTGAAAAGTTGAGCCCAAATTGGAAATGAGAAAAAGGGGTGGAGGTGGTGGTGGCTGGGCAACGGAAAGAAAGAGATATTTGTTATATAAGGATGGGTGGTGCACTGTGGGGGAGACGGGTGATGGAGATCGTAAGACGCCAATGCTGAGAAGCGCCTCCTCCGCGTTTGGCAGGTTCCGATCTCTCTCTATCTCTCTATTTCTTCCTTTTTAGGGTTTCTTCTTCTTCTTCGACAATCACATCTCTATTCTCTTCTTCTGAAATCCATTTCAAGAATGAAGCTGTCTTCAAGGCATGCTCTCAATCATCTCTTGCATCATTGCGGGACCATTCAATTACTTTCTCCATTTTTTCTTCAAATCCAATTTGTAACCCCCAACATCCTACTCCATCTTTACTTTTACAGATTGCTTTCATATTCTATGCTTGAATTCTATCTCTTATCAATCTCGCTATGCCGTGCCTGCCACATACTCTTGTTACATGCTCTTCACTGTTATTTTAATTTTTTTATGGAGTTCTTTACCTAATAATTGCACAATAATGCCACTCTCTTTTTGTTTTCTAATAACCTCCATAGAACTCTTTTTCTTTATCTAATTCTATAGCCAAACCATAAGCATTTTTTAACTTATTTCATAAGAGCTCTTAATCGTTTCGTGATGAAAACTGTTCAGAGGTGCTCTAATCTCATTTTTTTCAAACAAACGAGTTCTTATTAAATTTAGTTATCATAATCGATGAGATTTGGTACTGTACATTCTAGGTGAAGACCCTTTTTAAGAAGTTGTGAAGAAAATTGTCAATATAGGTTAGCTAACCGTGGTAAAGGAGGGAGAATTGTGTTTTGGGCCGTAGTGTTGTGGGCGGCCTTAATTTATGGCCCGTGAACTTGTAGTAGGGCTGAAATGGAATTGGCTTTTTGACGTCAATGTGATGCAAGCCAAATGAACTGATTCCTTTTTATTAGTGGGTACGCGCTTTGTTTTTTTCTGTCAATTTGATTTTATATGATAGAAGCAAAGTTGATTGATCTGATATATCTGTTTATAAAAGTATAATTAAGGTATTTAATTATTTCATCAAACATCAACTAAAATTAGAAAATACTATTATAAAAATAGTAAGTATAATACATACAATTAGACAAACAATGAAATCCTATTCAAATAATTTAACACTATTAGCATGATTTTAATGTTAAAGAAGATCAAAAGATCAAAGTATTGACTTATAGTAAATAATTATAATAAAAGACTATTGTTAGGGATTAGTAACAGTTTATTTTCATTTGAGTTTGAATTCGACGAACCTGAGTTACTTCAGTTTGATTCATGTTTATTTTATTTTATTTATATCTCAACTCGAGTTGAGCATGTACTGAGTCACTCACAATTTTAATCCATTTTTGCCTTGGTGGAGAATAGGACTTTGGATCTCTTTTGGGAATTGGGGCCCATGACTTAGATTTATTTGGTTAGGAGAAGAAGTAAGAAATGGACACGTCTTGTTTGTTGCAATTGTACTAAGCAAACCTTGTAAAACCCTACAGGCAAACAACATTAATAGACATAGTCACAATTGATGGATGGACATGTTGCCTTTTGTGAAAGACAGTTTTTGAATGAAAAATAATAATTAATAGGAAACCTTCTTAACCTGATTGACCTAATCAGGTGAGCCTACTACCAAGTTTAGCTTGGATTGGAGTGAATGGGTCGGGTCATGTGTGACCATGATAGGCTACCCACGTGATTGACAAAAGTTTGCATTGTTCTTACTAAGTCAGCAATTCACACAACACTCTTTGTCATCCTTTATTTTCTCCATGAAAATGAAACTTAAATAGAAAAGGTGACGTGAAGAACTCTAATACCCTTATTAACAACAAACTCCGCTCGCCAATCAATTCTTTTTTATTTCTTTCATTCTTAATTCATCTTTTTGTTCCTACGGCTCAACTTTTATAGTCTTCTCTAGTTTAATGAACCAAAGAATGTTACCAAACACACTTTTAACATTTCTTCCTAGCACTCTTTTAGTATATTAGATATATTTATAGGGACTTGTGAAAAAGTGAATTTCGTTCTTCTTATAGTCAGTTCCCTTGATAATTTTGAGTCCTTCAAAATATTACTTCCAGATAAAAGAGTGTAATGATAGCATCATCTTTCGTAATATAGAGTTAATTAAAGTGAGAGAAATCTCGTACATTAGGCAAAGTTTAATTTTTTGAAATGTAGTTAGACGGCAAATATGCATCTGAATTTCAAAATCGAACTTAAATTTTTTTAAAAAATATACTATTTTTTTGCTTGAATAAAAAACATGCTGACAATACAGAAGTTCTTAACAATCGCAGTTGATGAACTAGTATTTTTCCTTCTGTAAGTGTTCGACGGCTAACACTTTTAAATAATTAGAACTGTGATTAAATGATAGAATTACTAAGTAAAGGGGTCCTATATATATTACATATGTCCAAATAAATTTGTCTTTATCATGATTGGCTGATGTGGAATTAGGATGTGACTTTATATACAGTTTTAGGTCTAACGATAGAAGTTAAATTTTAAAAACAATGATTTAAGAAGAATTTTACTTGACTTTTGTTCGAAAGTTAATTCACAGTAAGTAACTATATGTGTTAACAAATAAAATATTATTTTAAAATCCAAACAGTTGCGTTCATCTTTTTAGACGATATATTCCTCTAAATAGATTTATGTTTCATTTGATGTTTCAGAGGATGTGAACCATTGATGCATTGTCCAACAAGTAAACTAAAGTAAATGTTCTAATAATTTATTGTTGGCCTATTTTATTCTGTCTTGTGTTCAAATAAGTTAGACGAGGAAAATTAAACACAAAGAGCTTAGGCTGAAAATATTATAAATTGTATTTTACCTAAATTTGAATACAATAAATATCATGGGTACAAAAGCAACACAATTATGTGATGCTGTAAGAATAATCCATGAAGGCACAAACTATGTTTAATTGAGAAAACCCACCAATTTCAAAACACAGGAAGAATTGTATTGAAACGAATTGTTTGAAAAATTCCAAACTTTTAACAACGAGCCTCAAAAGATTATAGTAGAATACACTAATCTTCTAATCTCATACAGTATGAAGATTTTGGATAGATTCCCAAGGGGTAAGAACACATACATGAGCATAGAAGAAACACAAACATGATAACCATGGTTCTAGATGAATTCTCAGAGACAAGATTTAAAAACTCATTAATCTTAAAGGATAAGATATTGATCCACGTGAAAGCGTTATAATCTACTTTATAATATTCTAAACCTTTAAAATATAATGCAGAAACTAAGAGCTCAGATTCATTTTTTAAATTGAAAGTGCTCTTAAACTAAGTTTGTTTATTTCTTATTACTATAAAATATTTTAGGAATAAAAGGTTCAGCTTATATAGGTCACTATGTTAAATTAAATCGATAGAAAAAGTGAAACGACAAATTGAATATGTTAACTCGCAGACTTCATAAGGTAATGACAGGACAAGATAAGTTAGTAGGCATAACCTGCTTCAAAAAGTTCACATTCCACTCTTATTTCATTTAGTTTCGATATTCTTTCACTCCATTTTTAAATTTTTGGGTCATTTTTTTAATATATTTATTATATATTATTTTAAATTTATTCATTGTCATTGTTAAGATGTATGTAGGGTGGCAAAACGGGCCAACCTGTCCCGTTTAAGTCTGATCTGACTTTGTCTCATAAAAAATAAGTCAGACTAAGTTGGTCTATCACTTAATAATGAGTTCACTTTTATAATTCGACATGACAGGCTGTCGGGTCGAAATGAGTTTAGGCAAGACTAGCAGACAGGTTAACATATGAGTGATTCTCCCTACACCTCAGGTATCTCGTTTTGCACCTCCCTCTTTTTTTTTTATTTTTACAACAGTGCCCCTGTCAGAAGAGGAGAACCTTTGGCAGAACCTTTAATTGCTTTATTTTTGTTTGAGTCATTTTGAAAAAACC